AAAAGCGGAAGAGTTTTTTTTTTTTAAATTTAGTGATTAAATTTTTTCTTATTTTAATTTTATTTTTTGTGTTTGGTAAAACAAATATAGATACAACTCAATTATAATAGCAGGCGAGAGCAGCGTTTAGCGGAAACTTATTACTTTTTGTAGGGGGCGGTTGAGAAGCGTGTGTAAATCTGTGTATGTGTGTGTGGGCAGTATGCTTTTTAACGGGGTAAAGGAAATTAGCAAGAGTCTTTTATTAGGCGTAGTAAAAGAGCGTGGTCAAGTGAAGAGTATATTTGCGTTTAGCCACTGAGCGCAGCGTGGATTGGTGAGTGGAGCGCAAGTGTAATATTGGCAAGTCTCTTTTGACGTCTGTTAGTAGCTGAAATGTGATTTTGTCGTGTGCGAATAAAGCCGTTGTGCTGTCTACGATCGAACTCAGTAAATGTGATCTATTGGTTGGTATTATTTATTGTTTTGTCTGGTACATTTTATATATGTATGTATATTTTTTTAGTCAGACAGCACAATGTTTTGTTTGTTTTCTGTTTTTACACATTTACTTGTATTCTCTTGTTTTTATTTTTCTGCTCAACTGTTTATGTTGAAATACCTACATTATTTTTGATCTATGCTTTTGGCATATTCTCTATTTTTGTTTATTTTGTTACTCTTTCTATTGGCTTTTCGGTCAATTTTATTAATTGCCTTCTGTCTAAGCGTAATTTGGCGAAATTTGTTTGCTTTTAGCTGTCGGCTTTATGCTAAATACGCATTAATTGTTTATTTGTATAGATTATTTTCAAATAGCTGTATGTGTGTTGTCAGAGGGCAATGCACGTTTAGTATATTTTTTGTTGTTGCKTTTAATATAGTTCTTTTATAGAGCAATTCTTTTTTAATTTGTTTGCTTTTTCATGTTTTTGCTTCTATTTTGTTTATTATAATTATTTATTATTGTAATGCATAACTATTCGGCATCATGTTTTTAGCTAAAAATTGTGAATATTCGTATTTTTCAACTTACTGCGTTTGTAAATCTTTCAAGTGTTGCTCTACTTTGTACGATTTCATCATCTTTCTTCTTAAGCTGCTGCTTGAGCTTGTCGTTCTCCAATCTAAAATGATGAAAATAAAAAAAGTCATTATTGAAATTCTATTTTCGAAATATACATTTACAAAAGTTAATAAAATTTAAGTACTAAAAGTTTTAGTGGTATTGACATAATTTAAAAAATACTCAAACGATCAATGATCGATAAAAAAATACGCCTTCAAAGACGGTCAAGAGATCGTTGAGGACATGCTTCGTTCTGGGCGACATTCGACCTCTTCATAATCTGAGAATTCTAAGATTGRCGAATATTGTGCTTGAAAATCGTTAGGSARGTGYTAGAGATGTGGCAARATAGYTCGACATATCTAGCTCGCAAGTTCATTCGAATGATTTKGGGTGATATTTTGGTATGAAACRTGTTCTTGCTCGACTCGTTCCGATAAAGCTAAATTGTTTCCAAAAGGCTACCGTAAACMGGTCTCTTTGGAAATGCTTGATCGTGCGAATTCCGATCCCACATATATTTGACATGCAAACAAGTCAACAATCATCGGAATGRATATAGGATATAGCTGTCATACCAWGTGATCAATAAAATTTCTCTTAMMGAAGCTTGGCAGAGATTTTATCTAAGGTAAAACTTCAAAATCCAAACATATTGTTCAGATCGGACCACTATACCATATATCGATCAATATCAAGATAAAGACCTTCATTCGACTTGAAGGTTATTTATATATTTAAAACATTGTGGTTAGAGAGAATTAGGAAAACCTTTTCCATTGGATGCAAACCGTTGGCCGAATACCTTTTCAGATTAAGTTATACATATAACTGCTTTAAGCCCTAGGMGGCTCCAGGTCCTTTAAAAAATCGGGAAGAGATGGATGAGGTATCCTGATCAGCTTCTAATAAGCGCCTCAGAAAGTAGAAGAATAAAGGGACGAATACCTTCGGAAAGTCCCAACCACCTTTAGTATCGAGTAAAAATGCCAAAAACCGAAAGGATTAATACTCTAAGTGGCACCGACGTAAGTGGTGCTCCTACAGCGGAAACATTATTAGACCACCATTTAGGTAAGAGATGGGAACCCAGTCTTCTGACAGGCTTTAGGAATTCACGTCATCTAAAGGAAAAAAACAGAACATTCAATATTTGTTGCCCTTATTCGAAAATCAAGCTTGTCTCTGCTGATAATGTCAAAACTAATAACAATAATTTTGAATTCCAATTTGACAAATGGAATTGCACTACATAACCACTTGTCACGAAGATAGCTTTCCGGACTTTTTAGGCTAGCGAAGAAGGTACTTTCCTCTCTTTGCCACACCCAATTTCTATCACGATCTTGCACTTACTTTACAGCCTCCCATAGAGCCTTGTAGTCGATGGCTTCGCCATTCTCTGACCTATCACGTGCTTTATTCTCGTCTGTCGTGGAGTTTGCGTTGGTGTTAGCATTAGTGGTGCTGCTCAAACGTGAACGCGATGCGCCCCGCTCACCGCCACTCTGAAAATGCAAGAAATAAAGGCAAAAAATTACATTTGATATACGACATTACTAAAGTCAAAAGATATACAATCGAAATAAAGAGCATTATGAACAATTTTAACAATAATGGCAACAACAACATTAAGATTTAACTATATTTTTGTGCAAAAGTACACACAAACGTACTTCGTAACCTTCGCTTTTCTCTGACGAAGCGCTAACCGAACGCTGCGCGGCGCTACGTGAACGCGAGCGATTACGCGATTTACGCTCCTGCTCACGCAACGAGTTGCTACGTCCCACCAAAGCGGCCATGGCTGCGGCGCTGCTGCTATTCACTGCCGCCGCAACAGATGTAGGCGCTGCTGTGCTGCTGCCGTACGAATTCAAATTGCCATTTGAATTGGAGATCGTCTTGGCTTTGAGCAGCGACGGAGTTGAGCGTGCGCTGCTCGGTGTGCTTCTGTACGACGAACTGCCGGTGGAGGTGCCCTTGAAGGAATTCGACTTGCCAGCGCTGCTGCCTAGGCTAAACGAGGCGGTGGTTACGCCATTATCATAGCTGGTGTAGGGGCTCATGTAGCGATCGCTGGCGCTGGCGCTGCTGCTATAGGGATTCGAACTGTAACGCGATTCATAGCCGCTGCTGCCACCGCCATTGGCTGTGGATTGGGAGGAGTGGTATAAATATGTTTTGTTATTATTATTGTTGATAATACTACTACTGCTGCTAGTACTATTATTGGCGGCAGTGCATGAGGCAGTGCTATTATGAGATCTCGACATACTACTACTCGTGGAGGGTGTGCAATAGCTGCATTTGCACCTATGGCGGCTCCCGGTTGGCGATAGTGAAGCATGTCGAGAGGTTCTTTGCACTGCAAGCTTTGACGTTGGCGTTGGATGATGATGGTGATGTGAAGTGGATATGATGCAGGAAGTGGAGGTACTTTTCGGATTGGCGGATTTTGCATATTGCTGTGGTGATTGCTGCGTATGCTGATGATGATGATTATACTGATGATGATGAGTGTGATTATGCTGATGATTATGATGTTCATGATGATGAAGATGATTGTCAACACTAGCGCTGACTTTTCTTGGTGTATAATGAGTGGCGTCTGTTTTCAATGCGGTTGCGCTCGATATAGCATGATGGGTACTTGAGGTGCCGGTAGCTTTGGTTGGATAAGCGGTCGTAGCGGATGTGCAAGTATACTCATAGCGGCCAATTACAATGACGCCACCACCAGCATTTTTACCATTCGAATAATAGGAGCTACTGCTGGCGCCCGCCGTTGCACGACTTCCGGCTGTGCTGTAGAGATTATCACGCGAACCATAAATACTCGCATACGGACTCTGGTAGTAGGGAGACGATGATGCTCCCGAGCCATTCTGATAATAGCCCGTGCTTAGGGGACGTGAAGTGGAGCTGCCGCCGTAGCCATTTGTGTGATTGCTATTGTAATTGCTGCCGTTATAATTGTAGGCGCCTCCACCACCACCCATACCCGAAGACGAGGTGGCGCGCGAACTGGAGAGKGAGCGACGACGCGAGGCGCCGGCTAACGGCTGTGCGGTGCGGGAACGCGAACGAAAGGACATTGCAGCAACAGCGGAACTTCAATAAAGACCACTGTGTGGAGCGTGTGCAGTTGGTAACTCTTTGAGAATTTGAAATTTAGGTGTTTACGAATATTCAGRCAATTTTAGTTTAATTAATTTATTTTTTTCATAAAAATCGGCATGAGTTCACTGAATCAATTTGGATTCGCAGCGTCTTTAGCTTGCGCTCAACTATAAAAATTACAAGAAATTTTAGCGAAAATCGTCCAATGAAGCACTTTGTATATAAAACTGCAACGCGCACAGAACACAACGCAACCAAATCGAAATAAATGAGGCGTATAAGAGCGTGAGTTTCGGAAATTTTCGCATTTGTTTATGCAAAATTTTAATAATGCCACTCAAAAATTCAATTAGGCGCAACCACAACGTCGTCGTGCAACGAAAGAAGTAAAAAGAAAAAAAATTGCAAAATAAAAACATAAAACAAATAGGAAGGAGAAGAGCTTGAGAAATTACAAACTCATTGGATGGGAAGAAAATATAAATGACGAAATAAAAACAAAATCATAAAATAAAATATAAAAACCAAAGGAACATTTTGTTAAGACAGAAAAACATACAAAAACACAGCCTCAAATAATAATTATAACAAACTATAATAAAAGAAATTGTGAGGAAGGGGGAGAAAACGAATAAAATATAATTAAAAATATAAAATACAAACAAGAAAACAATAGTAAAAAAATACAAAGAAATTATAGAAATAAAAAAAAAAAATTTCAAACAATATTTTACTACATATAGTCACTTAAAATGCAAAACAACTTATCACCAAAAGATTCGAAATTGAGTTTATTATTGCTTACGACTCAATGCATAATATTAAATATACATATGTAGGTAGCATAAAACTCTTAGCTTCCGCTGTCGGATATAACCGTTATATAACCAATATATAACCAATTTATAACTAATATATAACTAATATATAACTAATGTATAACCAATATATAACCAATTTGTAACCATTTTATAACCAACACTCAAATTTTGTAATTAAGTTAAGTGATTTCTATTATCTCGTTTCCCTTCGCCTCTAAACTTATGAAAAATAATGTTACGTTGTTTTGCATTTCAGTTGACGATATGTAAGTATGTATATTCAAAGATTATTTAAACTGCCAAACAGAAATACATGTCCAAAGAACCATGAAAATTTGACGTCAGAAAAAAGATTATCCATACACAAGTTGTGCAAATGTATTCATGCCATGTCAAAGTCTTCCCGTACTAAACATAAATCGCACAGTCGCTTAATTGGCGTTGTGGCTGCTGATTTTCAATTGTACATCATCCATGCGCACTCACACACACACCTAACTAAATGCTCACATTAGCGTTTTCGACCAGGAAACATGCAGATAAAGTAATACAAAGCAACACATGTTTAAGCGAAATGGTTTTCTTCGAAATAATAAAAGCAGATAATGCAAAGACTTTTGCCATATTCCATAAGCCACAATGCGCCGACTGCTGAATCACCCACGCGGTATTAAGCAAATGGAAAGAAAAACTAAAAATACGCTACGCTGATATATTGTGAAGGAATTGGGGGGAAAAAGTGTAAATGCCATGCCTGCAGGAAAATTTAGACCCGGTGGGATGGGCAATTAGTTCAGCAATGATCGAAATACCAATGCTTTTGCATTTGTTTTACAATAATTTCTCGGATTTGGAATTCTAGTTTCAAAAAAAAAAAAATAAACTTTTGTGTTTGCTATAAAATGCAAATTATTCCGAGATCAGATGAGTATTTTAATTATTAAAAACAAGAAACTAATAATAAATAAATAAATGTATGGTATTTTACCAG